TTCTCCACAGGCTTAGTGAGCCTATGGTGACAATAGAAACCCTAGCGGCCCAAGCCCATCCAATTCTCTTTTGCTTCTTCACTCTTTTACCTCCAAAGGCCCAAACGAACGCCTCTTAAACAGAGAAACCCGCTCGTTCGCTCACATATTTTCTTGCCACCATCGTTGAACTCCGCAACAAGCAGCGACGCCATATCACCACAGCCCTTGTCGTCGTCGCCGGACGTTAGGTACCCCAGCAATCCGATTGGTTCTCTCTATTTTGTGGAGTGTGTGGGTTGGAACTAAGGGAATTTGAGTTTCGACGTCACGTACCCTAGTTGGAGGGTTTGTAAGGTCAGGCCAGGTGACTAGGTGAGCGCCGCGACCCTTGCTTGCAGCCAGCAAGGGCCGGGCGCGCTGACCACAGTATTAAATAAAATAATGAAGGAAAAGCATCATTAAAAATTATCTATATTAGCACTGGCCATGTCACGTAGGACAGCAAGCATCCTCGCCAGCAAATTCCAGCCAAAATTGGTCGAATGGACTCAATTGGCAAAATGTAAAAATGTTTAGAACTCAATTGACAAAATTGAAAAGTTTAGGACTGAATTGGTAAAAGTGCAATAGATTTATGACTTTTGGACAATTTTCCCCTATGCGTTCTCTCTATTCTTTTTTATGTGTATATGTGCCTCCTCTCTTTGAAAGAACAAAGTGTCTATTGGCATAAGATTATGGTTGCAATCATAGTTTCCTAACTTAGATTCAAAGAATTTGTCAGTATATCCATGCTAGGAACTTAAAATATCCCTCCTTTCTTATTCCCATGTAATTGAAATTTTCAAGGATAATAGCCTTATTGCCTCCAAATTTGAGCAAAGAATGCAATCTTTCCTAGTTTAGAACACCCCATGTGCTATGCACATGCTCGGTCACATCGGGAAGACTATGGGCATGGCCGAATTTTGAACTCATGTGGCCCAGTCCTGAAAATTCAATTAAGTTTAGAGCCCCTTTCCTTAAACCCAAATAGCACTCTTGTAACCAGACTAATTAAAATGCAATTTCTGTGGGCCTATTATTCAATGTTTCTAATTTAGAAATACAAATTATATTAATGATACTTTTTTATTTAGGATCGAAGTCAACTCCTAATTTTCTTATGCAATATATGAAGAAATAAGGTAGCCCAAATATAGGTGTCAACACTTACCACGTAGGAAGGTAGATTTTTTTTTATATATAAATTATGTGTAATTAATTATCTACTTTCAATATGTAAATTATCAATTTAAATAAGTGGTATCTCTAACTTTTTTAAAGAACGTACTAAAAAAACCTTTTGTTCACAAGATTAGAGAACAATATGCTTAATGCATGTCCACTCATTTTGCTAATAAAAATAGGAAGTACGTGCAAAATACGGAACATTTCCAAACAAGAATGAGAATAATATCAATTCTTTACTCATCTCTTATTTTCTTCCTTCTAGATGTTCACTTAAAAAAATTATTCATTTACTAAACTTAGAAAATATTAGGATAATTGCATTAGAAGTCCTAAAACTTGTCACGATAGTGCAATTGAGTCATAAAACTATCAAAAAGTACGATTAAGTCTTAAAACTTGTCAATTTGGTCCAATCAAGTCTTCCATTAATTGCACTTTTTAAAAATTTTAGGACTCTATTGCACTTTTGAAACAAGTTTTTGGACTTTAGTGCATTTTTCAAAAGTTTTAGGACTCAATTGCACTTTCGTGACGAGTTTTAGGACTTTTAGTGCACTTTTCCCGAAAATATTTGGCTGAGATGGCAGTATACATTAGTATCATTCTCATTGGGTCGACGACACACATGCACCGCTAGTTAATCAACTAAATTCCGCCGTCGAACAATCGACAACAAGTTGAGCATAAGAAGTTAAACTTCGATAAAAGTCAAGGAAGCATTCCTCGTAACTGCCGATTAAAGTAACTTTGTAATATGTAGAGATAATTTCCAATAACAACCCCTCTATATTATATATATAGCCAAGCTGATTAGCTATAGAAGCAAAACTCAAAGTCAGCAAAATGGCCACTTTTCAAAGGATTCCAGCAGCAGCCATGACTGCGCTTTTCCTCATTCTCGGTGCTGCGAGGAGTGATCCAGACACAACTCTAGTGAGCAAAATATGAAGCATAGCAACATTCGCGCCCTTCAGTTACTACCGTTACAACAACGAACAAGTCATCCAGTGTTTGATTGATTCTACGGCAGATTCAGGTTTCGACCATTACTGTCGGGCCACCGGGCATAACGACGGTTGTTATGGCCATGCGGCGTGCAATGGGGCGCTTTCTCATCCAGATTGCCGAGGCTGCCTCTATGATATTTCGACGAGCATCGGGGAAGAATGTGGGAATAGCATTGGGGCTCAGATTCAGTTTAAAGACTGCAGAATGAGATACGAGCATTATCCATTTACCGAATATTTACTTCTTTGTAAAGAGCTCCGAGCTCTCCTCCTACCCGAATATTTATGCTCACATGGGGACTGCTATGTCTCCCCTTTGAAATAAGTGATAAGCATTTGCGCGTAATTTTTGGGAGGTCGGGTCACGTGAATCGGGCCAAGTAGTTATAATACCACATAAAGGAACATTTTTTTTTTATGAAGAATGAAGTGTTAATTAGGCTCAATTAGTTGATGCCTTCAATGGAAAATCCACCATCTAAAAGTCCAAGTAATTTCATGGAGACTTTCTTCAAATGTTTCAACGGGCCCTGTATTTCGATTTGTCTTAGTCTAATTTCTGAAGTTTCGAGTGCTCCATAATTTAGTCTTCAAGAAATTTGCGGTGAAAAATACGTTGACCGGTCAAACTTATCCCAAAGAAGTTTTGAGTTTTCTTTTATATGATTTCCAGGCTTTTGAACTATTTTATAACCGAACTCATCAATTAGAGGCATGGTTGGTGAAATCTCTCTACTAAAGGCGGAGGAAATATAGCCCGAAGGTCATTGCCCTTCAACTTTTGCATGAAGTCTGTTTTAGACATTAGTATTCAAGCACTATTAGATGTATCAAGACCAGATTGTTGGTGGCCATCTGCACAAACCTATCATATCGTATCATAATTTACCACTTCATTAAATTTGATGTAAATATATTCTATATTTTGAGGACATATAATGAATTGCTCTAATGAAAAGTCATTGTTATGACCATATAAGAAGAATGTAGAATAGTGGAACATATAAGTAATTTCTTGACTAAATTAATCTATAGGAACTCTATACGAATGATTATTTCAGGCTACAATTTAGATGGTAGAACTGAAATTTCCATATTGATAAACTATGTTAACTTTAATGAACTCTAACAGAATAACAAGAAAAAAGAGAAAAACCTGCCCAAACATGTTAGGTGAGGAGACAAAATAGAAAACTAAACTCACGTGACTTTTACTTTCTACTTTTTACTTAATCAAAATTTTGCAAATCATACCATGTCTTTTCCTAAATCTATAACTCTCGAAACTTTCAAAATTCTCAAATGTTATACCCGTTTTTTTTTTATCAGAAACTGAAATACTTCGTTAAACTAGTTAAAAGTGATAGGGCCCGAGAGAATTTAGGCCTGGTCAATGCCTTAAGGAGTTCAAATCAATTTGCATGAGATGCTCACGCCCTTATCATGAAGTGCAACGATATGTTACTCTCCTTTTCAAACATTCAAGTAGCCCATTGCTTTAGACATGCCAATTTAGTTGCAGATTGAGTTGCTAGAGCCCACAGGAGAAACTATTTACCTCTGAACTAGGTTTTATCCCCTTCTCCGGCCCTTTAGGATCTTTTATGTGCTGAAGCCCCTCAAATGTTATACTTTGTTCATATATGATTTCTTCATAATTTCCTGAAATTACAATAATATCTAAATTTGACGGGAAAGCAAAAAAAAAAAAGAAAAAGAACAAAGATCACCATCTGCAGCAGAGTTTCTGGCCATTTTCATATCAACAATGTGCATATACCTCAAGGCTATCGCTTCAAGGACAGCAGCTTCTTCTATGCCTTCGGATTCGTCCCTTTACAGCTTCGAAGTTTGCTTGAAGGCTTACGGCATCATATCTCCCCGCGGCGACCGTAATTTTTCACTTCTTGGAACAGCAACTGCAACTCCCTCTCAAAGTCATGCCTGCCTCCCTAGGAATCCCCAGGGAGCTCCTGCAAATTTTGCCAGACATCAATGACCGCGTTCGTCATGCCTCGAGCAATCCCAAACTACACATTCTCAGGACATCTTCTATTCGCAGAATTTGAACCACCTACATAGCATCACAAGCCGAGCAGAAGGAGATGGAACTACCTCCTCAAGTCGGCGATTGTTCCACCACCTTGATCTTTCCTCGTCATAATAGAACGAACAGCGACTCTACTTGGCCATACAATGATCCTGCCCCTGAATCTCAGTCCCTCGAGGCCCATAACAAAGCGCACGGTGTTCCTGGGCGAGCATCTTGAAGGAGCGACCGGAAATGGGATACTTGTCCTGGAAACCATTGTAAAGCACAGAACGAGGAAAGGCCTTCGGCAACATATTTAGAAGACGTAAGAAATTTGATGTCCCAATATATTGAACTGCAGATAGTTTGTATACTTTTGGCGAGCTTAATAACCCATTGCATCATACAATCTACCTCTCCTTCATCCAAATCGCCGTAGACTATCTTCATTGACCAACAACCTGGGAATCTCAATAAAGGGAAAGAGAAAATAGACAAGGAAATGATATTACTATCAAGGGGCACTTCAATAACTCAAGATGTCTCATAAACGAAGAACATCGTGCGATTGCCACATACATGTATTTGAATTTCTCGAATTCTGTGTGCGATTTTCATTTTCTCTCACTTTGCTGAAAATTTACATGGCGATACTTGTCCGCTAGATGTTGGGAAAACGAGTCATAATGGAGGATTCTCAGACTATGAGCAAGTACAAGCAAGAACCAAGAGATAAAAAAGCGAAGTAAACCAGAATACAGAGAGAGCAATAACCAATTGACGATCCCAGAGAAATTCATGTGCAGCCAGCAGCAAATAAACAAATGATACAGAATAACTTGTTTCCTCGTAGTGCTTGCTCACAATACAAATTTTGGGGCACAAGAGAAAATGCCCGAGGATGTCATTAAATCGAAAGTGCCGGCTTCATTTGCATCGTACTTTGACATTAAGGGTCCACTGGATATTCCCCTCTGGGAGAGGGATGGATTTCGGCAGACGTAGGGGCACCTCGTACTCTCCCACATTTGTTAGTGGACTCGGCAAATGGACGTTTTCGGGGTCAATTTGCACGCAAAGTTGCCTCGCCACCTGAGAGAAGTGCAAATGGTTGCATTAAGTGAGGGGAAGGAGGCCAACCAGAAAAATATGATTTACTTTTCAAGCCTCTCTCATTCACGGTGATATTCCAATCACAAATATCGACTTGCAAATAGGTAGATAGATAATGGAGAATGAAATTCATCGGACTCGACCACAAAGTTTACAATCAAAGAGCACCAAAAGAATGAGCTTCAAGGCCATCTCAGAATTTCCCTGCTCAGTCAACTAATAAACATAACAGCAATGTTCTCTATCCTGACCAGAGTAAAGAGCAACAGCTCTCCTAACTCTTTGTCATGCTAACAGATATGAGATGAAACAGCTCATGTCTTTATGATCGATCATGTATAATGGATTCCTAAAATTAAAGTTACACAATTATCTCGGTTCCACATATAATCATCAGTATGCATAGTGAATGAAAACAGACAACCTCTTCCATTGCGTCCTTTTTTTCCCTTTTGCTTGATAAGCCAGTGTACACCTTGAAACATTTGAATAATACTAGGTACACCAGGACTAATTTGCAAAACTAGTATATTAAGTGATGCCTGTGACGGACTCCTATTGAGTCGTGAGTATGGCCGACTTAGTTCAATAACAACTTGCAAATCTAGTACATTACTTAGTTTACCAATTTTGAATACTGGTATTAGTACGCCTAGCATTGGTTTGAAACAATTAGTCTGATGGCACAAGGGGCTCATAACTCAACAGGCATTCTCCCATGATACGGACAAGCTCAGAGCACTGAAAGCTGCATTTCCAAATCAAATATACTTTCATAGAATACTATAAATTGCTCCAAACATCACTTCAATACACGTAATATTTGCTAATGATTATGCCAAGTGAACAACAAGATGCAAACTACTTTCCATACAACAAAGAAACCTTTGTAGACAGGACAGAGAAGCCTGTGACATACCTCGGAGACAAGCTCTTCTTTCATTACAGGTGACCTCAATTCTATTGGCTCATCTTTTGTAGCACGTGTGCGTAATTTCTCGACATTAATGAACCTCCTCAGTACCTACACAAAGCGAAATATATAAGCCATCTGGGAAACAAAAGTCAGAAGCAAATATTCCTAATGCAATATGGAAAGAGATCCAAAACTTGTTCTTAGGTGATGATTGTGTATCTTCCATGCATAACAGAAAGTCAACTGGACACAATCTATACTGAAATTTCTTGTTGAATCTGATCTACATTTGACCATCATCCCAGATGTACAAGAGCTTAGACCTACACATTAAACAACGCTCCCTCAAGTTTCTCAAGGGTTTTTCATACTTGATTCATCTAAAAATGCAATCTGAGCATTTAGATAAAAGTTTATTTGCGCAAATGGAGAATCTGAAATTTTGAATTATAATGTGTCGTTTATCACCACAATTAAGAGCATCAAAGATCAGTTACAAACCAGCCGTGCATTGTCTAGACGTTTTGCAGCTGCCTCATATTCCTTCATCCTATCTTCCGCAGTCTCAGTGACTACTTTGACCTCCTCTACTTCCTGAGGCTGGTAAATCTGCCAATTAATAAATGAGAAACATCATTAGCTCATTGTCAAATATACGAAAAGTGTATTCTACTAACTACTCAGATTTAGATAAGTTTCATTTAAATCTATTATCAGTAATCTGCTATTTATTCAGATATTAGGTAACAACAACAGAACCGTGATCTAATCTCAACAAAGTTTTTTTTTTTTTTTTTTATGCAGATCATGGGGTGCGCATTAGTATTTGCAACCAGCTAAAATTATCAATTTCACTAGTGTAACTGGAACGAACCTTGCGCTGCTCCCTAATGAGATAAGCAAACTTCTCAATGTTCGGGACAGCCAACAACTTGGGCATGAGATGGTTTCGGAAATAGCCTGGAGCAACCTTCACAGTTTCACCTGCTTTTCCAAGCTTCTCTATGCTCTGAAAAAAATACAAAAGGAGTTCATATATAGATGCCAAGAATCCAATAGAAAATGCAATAACTCCGCGTTTCAACTCTCTCACCGTGGTGAGTATAACTTCCAACTTCCTGTATCTGACTCCTTGACAGGCATGGAAGAGTGGATGCACTGCGCCATCAGAACTCCTGACAGAAGCACCTTGGACAATCTGCCGAATGGCATTTCTCCCACGTTGTATAGCAGACATTTTATGGTGTCTCTCCAAAACTACCTTTTTCCAGCCTGAAACAAACTTACAATCTAGATTAACAAGTTTTAAGTGAAGGAACTCATAAGCAGCTCGAAACGCTAGAACGTACACACAATAATTAACCCGCAGCATAACAACGGATTGTCTTCGTAGAAATAATGCGGTCAAACTACTAATTAAAGCGAGGATATCACTATTTAGATCTAAGTTTCCGGGTTAGTCATCTAACCGATGTCCACTTATGCACAAACTGAAATAGACGGATATTAGCAACATCAATCTTCACGGAAACGCGGATAATGCATTGTTCTGGACAATCACCTTCCTACCAAGGGATGGACATGGGGAGGAGCGAGGACAGGGATCACGTCCCCCGTTCCTGCCCCGGAGGCAGGGCAGCTCGGCTGGGGCTTTGGCGCCCCGCCCCGTCGTGGGCAAAATTCCAGCCATAAGTTTCCATTCAGCCATGGAAACTCCTTTGCTTCATTGACACCCCTCTTATTTCATTTCTTGCCTTTCACTTTCACACAATCACGGAGACCCAGAAACCAAATCTATAACCGACCCATCGAAAAACCATGGTTCCACATTCATAATCTCTCGAAAACTCAGAGAGACAAATCGCACACCCACATGCCAAGATTCGAACTTTCCCACAAACTCAAATTCCCAAACACACACAAACACAGACACTCCGCAAACAGAGAGAACCGGCCAACTCACCCACGCCAGACGTAGAGAGAGAACGGCGAGAAAGAGAGAGAGAACGATCGAATTGCTGGGGTACCTGAGGGCCGGTGACGGCGACGGCGACGGCGACGGCGACGGCGACGGCGACGGCGACGGCAAGGGCTGCGGTGTTGCGGAGTTCGACGACGGTGGCAAGAAAAGCTGTGAGCGGGACGAGCGGGTCTCTGTCTAAGAGGCGTTCGTTTGGGCCTTTGGAGGTGAAAGAGAGAAGAAGCGAAAGAGAATTGGATGGGCTTGGGCCGCTAGGGTTTCTATTGTCACCTTAGGCTCACCAAGCCTAAGTGGAGAAGGCCAAGACCGACTATACATCTAAATCCAATCCCGCCCTTCTCAGACTAACCAAAGTTTTCTGAGATCGATGATAGACTGAGGAATCGAACCTATTAACTTTCGACTCGTACATCAAGTCATGGACCACTCGACCAATCCTTGGTCGGTCCGTTATTTAATTAGCAATAGCATATTCGAGAACAAATGGTAAAAATGATAAGCAATAGGAAATGAACCTAGCCGTTGGTTTGGTTACAGGAATGGAATAAAGTTATGGTGTAATAGCTATAACATTATAATGTAGTAGAGCTGTCATAACTATTATGATGTCTATTTTTAAGTAATGTAATACTTATTATGCTGTTTTGTTTCATGAACGACGTGCGTGACAAGGGAAAAATAGCATCAGAATTTTCAAAATAACCCCTAAAATCATAATTAGACCGAATATAATAATTACACTTTAATAGTCAATCATAATTTATGAATTTAATGCCACGTATGTATATTATTAGACATATAATTATGGCAACTAAGTTGTGACTTGCATAGATCAAACAGGAGGTTTGATATGTGCAAAATCGACATTAACCAGTTATGACGATGCTAACATGGAAAAAGAGAAGTATGGATAATTGGGCCTTAACTCTGGAATCTTGTGATTTGCGAATCATGGCTAGACGCATGCCATAGGCGAATGGCATACATGTGGTCAAAGTGGTTAGCATGATGTCAAGCCGATTAAAAGTCCGAGAAAAGTGCGAGAATGGTTATTTTCTGGTCAAATGACTTCCCTAAAATATAAGTGTGATAGAGATCACGGTCGGGCAAGTGGCGAAGCCAATTGGTACACATGGATAAACGGTTGGCATGATGCCAAACCAGTTAAAGTCCGAGAAAACTGCGAGTACGGTAATTTTCTAGTCAAGATTATCTCTATAATATAGGAGTGGTGGAGATTGTGGTCAGACACATGATAGATGTAGATCAGCATGCATGGAGAAGCGGTAGCATGGATACTAAACCTAATGCCTGAAACTAAAACCAATGCATGGGACCCTTGTCCCAAACATAGGAACACGTCTAAAACTATGGAAAAACGTCCAGTACGTTGGGAAAAGTCTTAGAAAGTGGAGTGAAATGCTCAAAACTCAGGATTTTGAAAAAGGGCGTGTTAGGAGAGAAGAAAGAGACACTCTAGCAAATTGCAAAATTGAGTTATTGTAATTCAACTTATTGTTTCTTTCATTTCATTTTGCTAAACTCTTTCTCTTGTGAGTTTGATTTGAGTTTGTGTTGTCGTTTTGCTCTGATTCATCCTTAAGTCGGGGGGCCGGCGGCGGCGTGTGGCTAACATTCATCTGGCGAATTAGGGAAATCTGCAACGCAACATTGTGGGTGGACCTTTTACCCAATGTACGTGGACATGGTGATTTGCATGCATCCTAAGAATTTGTCAAGCCAAAAGTTTGAATATGCCATGTTGTCAAAGCGACATTTGACATTTCGTGATTTTAGGACCATTTGTGTTCGTCCCCCCTAGCTCGAACTCCCTCATCCTCTGCTGATAGGAAGTACACTATTAATGTTGGTCATTTCAAAAAACGCAATATTTTCAGACAAAAGTGATAGAACTTTACTTTTCTTAAGAAAAATTTTGTCGAAATAATTGTATGTATTACTATTGTGGTTGTCGTTGTGACAAAGGCATGCGTGGACTGCTATTTAATCCATTAAATTTCCCAGCCGAATGGACGGCTACAAGTTCAGCATAAGAGGTTGAGCTTCGATATGGTTTAAGGCAGCATTTCTCATATCATCGATGTGGGAAGTGCCGGTGCTTAGATTCGACAGCATAAAACGACAGAAAAGGGTAGAACGATGGCTGCCAGGATTCTGATGATCCTCCTCATCTGGATTTTTGTGGAGATAATTTCAAGAACAATCCCTTTATATAGCGGAACTGATTAGCTACAGACGCAAAATCGAGATTCAGCAAAATGGCCACTTTTCAAAGGATCGCAGCAATCCTTATTGCGATTGTTTTCACTTTTCATGTTGCAAGTAATAACGTAGTTAGCAAGGATCACCTAGAAGGGGGTAAATAGGTGATCTAAAACTTTTGATCAATTTTTAAAGCGGAAACAAATGATCAAGATTAAAGTCTGAAAGACATTCAGGTTCTGAGCAGACTTTTATAGACAATATGCTAGTGTGCAGTATAAAAAGATAGAATAAGAGTTTAGGGATAAAGAAACTGCACACAAGAAATTATAGTGGTTCGGCTTATATCAAGCCTACGTCCACTCTCCCACACTGACAGCCTACCGGCTGGATTTCACTATGTGATAAAAAAGGATTATAAGTTCTAAGTAATATCACTCGGTGAATGATAGAACTTTCTATCTCACACAATCACTCTTACAAAATATTCCTCAAGATCTCAATGTTTTCTCAGGAAAGACAAGTAGTAGAATCGGAGTATGCTCAGACTTTGGACTTATTGATTTTTGATTTCGTTCAGTGCCTTCTGCTTCTCGTTAATCTCCTTTTATACTCCTTCACTTCCAAACTAGCCGTTGGACAGTCTTCAAAGGATCATCTTCCAATCTTCACCTTGGATAGATTTGTATAAAATTGATTGAGTAACTGTTGATTGACAAAATCTGAATCCCGCTAAATGTGATCGCCCATACAACTAGAATATTGGTTTCTATAAGTAGAGCTTTATCCATTGTGATATATATTTGCCATAATGTTTGATTATCAATCAATTATAGTCTTAGATTGAGTCAATCAAAACTTTCTTTTTGTGAAATCCACGCCAGATCACTAGCCGTTATATTTCTTTCTGAATAATTTCTAAGTCTGAATAACTTTTGGTTATTACTTTACATTCAGAACTTAAGTCAGTGTGGGTCTTCAGTAAGGTATGAACCTTTCATAAATAAGGGCTGACGTTCTTTGTCTACTTAAAATAGAATCTGAGTGACCTTTATGGTAGAGTCTAAACTTTTCATTCTAAATTCCGTAAAGTCTGAAGTCTTCTTTCTGAATCTCATAAAGTTTGAGGTCTTCTAGAAAGTTTAGTTCTCTCAAAGTATTAAAGTTGCTACTTCCAGAATACATCTACCTGGATCAAAATACTTCAGAGTACATGTCAGATTTACAAAATTAACATTGATAATTTTGTCAACATCAAAATCTATTAGGAGGTTTCCTTAACAAGTAGTAATCCCGACACAACTCTTGTGACCAAAATATGTAACGGAGCAACATTTTTGCCATGGAATCTCTAGGATTATAACATCAATCAAGTTCTCCAGTGTTTATTTGATTCTACGGCAGATTCGGGTTACAACAAGTACAGCCAGTCCATAGCGGATGACGACGATTGTTATAGCCATGCAGCATTGAATAGGGTGATTTCATATCCAGATTGCACCACATGCCTGTGTGAAGCTTATAAACACATATATGATGATTGTGGTGAAAAGTGTCAAAAAGTCTTAAACCTTTTGCATTTATGCCAATTTAGTCATAAACCTTTTTTTGGTGTCAATTTAGTCCTAAACCTTTTGCATTTGTACCAATTCAGTCGTATACCTTTTTTTGGTGCTAATTCAGTCATAAACCTTTTGCATGGGTGCCAATTCAGTCCTAAACCTTTTTCATTAGTGCCAATTCAGTTATAAACCTTTTGTATTGGTGCTAATTCAGTCCTTCGACATGTGAATAGCTATTAGTCGGAAGGACTGAATTGATACCAATACAAAAGGTTTAGGACTGAATTGGCACCAAAAAAAGGTTTAGGACTGAATTGGCACTAAAAAAAGGTTTAGGACTGAATTGGTACCAATGCAAAAAGGTTTATAACTGAATTGGCACAAAAAAAAGGTTTATGACTAAATTGGCACAAATCCAAAAGATTTAGGACTTTTTTTTACACTTTTATCGATGACTATGTGCCAGTATCGGGGCTCAAGTTCAGTTAAAAGATTGCAAAATCCGATATGAACATTATTCATTTACCGAGTAGCCGTATTT